AGCTCTGAGATCCCGGCCGGCTGAAAGTGTTACAAAGTTTCAAACTGCCAGCTCAGAGGCCGGCAGCGCAGGCGGGGAACGTTGGCTTCCTCCTTCAATGAAGGAAGCAAGCCTCATGTTCGCTTCCAGCTGCCTGGCTGCCGGCCGCCATCTTGGCTGACAGTTAATTTGCATATCTCCCTGATTAGCCAATGAATAGGGTAGCGGTCGTACGCCAATTACCATGTTTCTCTTTTATTAGTGTAGATAAGCATGTCAATACACTCACACAATGTGGTCTTCTGTTCTATGCTCTTCCCAGGAAAGACTCCCATTTCATACCCCTGGACAAAGAGAAGCTTCTTTTTCAGCCCAGGCTATATTTGTCATTTGTCTGTGTTTCATGACAACAGTGGAAAGGAAGATGGGAAGAGCTGTATGCATTTGAGGGGAGTTCTTTGTTTTATTTTTAGCTGCAAAAAATAATGTCAGCAAGTCACATAGGCTGCTGTCACTAGTGATATGACATGTATACTTGCCCATCAGAGAATGCAATCTCATACATCAACCAATCTGACACGAATTGTGTGGGACCAAAAAAAATAAAAATAACGCTTTTAGTAAAGCAGAATAAACAATAACTGCTATGAATGGGCTTGATTCAAACTTTCTTTTTCTGTTAGCATAAGGGTATTTTAGAAAATCTCGATTCAAAAATTTATGTAGGCCCAAATGGTTTTAAAAACAATCTGATTCTTATGTTTTCTTTGCTTCTCTCTTTTTAAAATATGTTTATATTGATTTCAGAGAGAGGAAGGGAGAGGGAGAGAGATAGAAACATCAATGATGAGAGAAAATTATTGTTCGGTTGCCTCCTGCACACCCCGTACTAGGGATCAACCCGGGCATGTGCCCTGACTGGGAATCAAACTGCAACCTCCAGGGTCAATGCTCAACCACTAGGCAACACTGGCCAGTTTCTTTGCTTCTCTTATTCATAATTAAGTTATCTAATAACAATTACTAGTTATTAATTACTTATTAATAATTAATAAATAAGTCAGGCACAAAGGACAAATATTGTATGATTCTATTTATATGAGGTACCTAGAGTAGTCAAATTCATAGAGACAGAAGGTAGAATAGTGGTTACCAGGGATTGGGGGGAAAAAGGTATTGAAAGTTGTTATTTAATGGGCACAGAGTTTCAGTTAGAGAAGATAAACATGATCTAGAAATGAATGGCGGTGATGGTTGCACAACAGATGTTGCAGTCTCAGAATCTGAGTCTGGGAAGCCTAAGTCTACAAAACTAAAAAATAATAACAACCCAAGAACTTACATGCATATATGCATAATCCATGGACAGACAATAGTGCGGTACAGGCCTGGGAAGGGGGCAGGAGCAGGGTCTAGGGTGTTAATGGGGGGGGGGGGGGGCAAAGGGGGCATCTGTAATACTTTCAACAACAAAGATGAATTAAAAAATAATAATAGCAACCCAAGAGGAACACTTATTGAGCATCTATTGAGCAACAGGCTTAAGAGCTAGATGTGATCTAGGTCAAGGAAAATGTCTGAGGCAGATTTACAAATATCATATATTAGTTTACTTTCCCCAACTCACTATTTTGCTCTTTACAAGAAACAAACAAAGCCCCACACATCCCATTTCAGAATTAAGAAAACAAACAGAGACATTTCTCTGTGCCGGTAACCATGCCAAAGAGTGTGTCAGCCAATAGTATTTGTGAAACTCACCGGGCAGCTGGCAGGGCCACACATTATAAAGTGGAAATTTTTGGAGAGGCTACATTTCAACCCATTAAAAAAGTTTGCTGGTGTAGACAGTCTTTTATTTAGAAAGCCTATTTTCAGAAAGAATCTGGTTCAGTCATTATGGTGGGAGAAATAACACGTGAAAACAACAGTTCAAAACCGACCATAAATCTCCCTCAAAGCAAAACTATTTCTGGTGTCTCTCAAGTAGCTGAGTTAATGTGGCATAAGACAAAGCCTGACAAGCAGGTATAATTAAAGGATGAATCACAGGGATAAGTCATGGGTAACTCTGAAAGTGCCTACAGGGAAAACAGTCCATTCTAACACACTAAACTTTAGAGGCTAAAGGATGAAGGGTAGGAAGAAAAATCCCTTTTTCCACGTGAATGCAATGATTGGCTCCAGTGGAAACATATTGATAATGGCATCAGCACATTATTGGTACATTATTGGTACAGAGAATGTCCTGCCTCGTGTGATATGGGTATTCTTTCTCTATGTTTTCTCTTCTGAGAACGGCTAGGGGTCAGGTACCATGCTTTGCTTTATTTATCTTTCCATATAAATCACTTCTCTGCCCAGAGCCTAAAAATGTAGACAGTAGGTATAAAACATGCAATTGCACACATGAATGGATAAAGGATTACCCATTTCTTAGAATCTAGAATAAATCTGTCCTACACCTTTAGAAAAGAAAAATGAAAACTGATATCCAACATAGTAAATGGTGCTTACCAAAGACTGTTGATGTGTTTTTTCAAAGAATTAATCACAGGACTTTTATTTAATGAAAAACAGGAAAGGATTATTATATTTTATCCTGTTTCATATCGCAGCCACTGGCATTGGATTTAGTTTCTTGGAACAGCAACATGGCAAAGGTTGAAAGGAAACTATTTATTTGGCCTGAGTGGTATTCTGTCTTTTGGCTATGTGACGACTAGATGTAAAAAATCAGGTGGAAAACAGCCCCACTGCTTCTGTAGCTCCATTAACTGACAAATAACAGCATGATTACTCCCCCCACCCCACCACATACCAGATAAGGGGGGTTTAACTGACAGACACAAGTTAGACATTTAGAATTAAAGTGATTGGCCATTCTTCCAATTATTTGAGGTCTAGGCATCCAGGAAGGTCTTTAGGTCTAATTTTCCTGGCTCAGAAAAGTTTACATCAAATATACTGTTTACATCATCGTATCTCTTAGTTTAAGGTTTATCTGCTACTTTTAATGTTTATGTGTACTTAAAAAAACTATTTGGAACTAAAAGTCTTGACAGTCTCTGAAACTTAATTGGGAAAAATGTCAAGCACTTTAATGGAATTTTTCCCATGATCTGTAGAAGAGTGTTTTTTTTTCTTTAACAGATGGTTCAAATGGACAAAGCAGTGAAGACAGAAATTAAAAGCAGATTCTTAAGAAAAATAACTGGTTCTCAGAAATCCTAGAGATGATGGCGGACTAGATGTAACACAGCAGTTTCTCTTGCTGTCAAGCTCTGGAGAGAACAGATATTTATTAGGTGAGCCCCTACCAGAGGGGGGGGTGACTGCCTCTTGGTGGGAATCAGCTATTCATCTAGAATTCCGGCCAACTTCAACAATCCCCAAATCTTCACGCTCCAGGGCGGTTTCATCCAGGTGTCCATACAAGATATAGTGTTACGTGGCAAATAGGTTTCCTCCTAGAGTAGGGCCATCGGAGTCCCAGGTGGCTCTTTGGGGTACGGGGGAGACCTAAAACCTTCCCACCTTCACAACTTGGAAAAACATGATGAAGCTTTCGTTCTGAATAGAAAAGCCCCGACTTTCTTGGATCAATGAAGTGGGCGATGGGGAAGAGACAGGAAAACTTCTCCACCTCGAGTTTATACGCATTCATCTAAAGTTTAGATTCTCAACTCATGCTTTAAAGTAGCATCTTCCAACGAGGCTTCCAAATGTTCTCTCAAACTTTAGGGCAAGGGAATGCTGGTTTGTATCCCCGAGTCCAGGGAGTGGAGGACCCCTTAGTGTCACCACCTATAGACCACAAGGAGCCAGGAGCGCAGCAGGGGACAGGGACACCGCCCAGGGCACCTGCTGGA